GTGTACATCCTGCATATGATACAAATGTGGGTAAAATGATACCGGGTGCTGTAATCACTCATCTGGTTATGTTATTACATTGACCACCACACCCCCCCGACCCAAAAGAAAGGACGTATTATTGGCTTCCCCTAATTTTTTTCCCACGCCACGCTACTGAGGTTAACCTCTGAATTGTAGTGGAGTAGAACAAAGTAGGACATGCTGCTGTAACAAAAACATTTCCCAACTTGGGATCAATAAAGTATCTTATATTAAAATGATCGATGGCTACTGCCATATTTGCTAAATGTGCATCTGAACCTTGACAAGTGCATGTTTCAGGCTTATCAATTAACAACAGGAGGGGTCACAGACATAAGACCAGCTGTTAAATAAAGCTCTTCTGACCTTAGCTGTCATGTGGGTATATCAATGCTGCCCATTATGGACACAAGCAATTTTCACTCATGTATTAATTATATGTTTGAAATTTGATAACACCAATGTGTTTCGTATCCCCTAAACCTCCAGGGATGTATACAGTTTAATACTGGCAACTTCTAATTGTGGGAAATACGAAAACGTCTTTTAAAACTACAATTCCCAGTAGAGACGTGCCAGAGAACATGTTGCGAAACACACAAAAGCCAGCATGTGTAATTCTGGTGGGGGGGGGGGTGGGGGCTGGGCTGGACCAGTTTTGGATAGTCTGGCGTGGTTCCATTCCATTTCAAAGAGCTGTTTGACACTCGGCGTAACCTTGTCGCACTGCCACTCCAACATCCAATCACAGAGCTTGAGGGCTAATCACGGGGTTTGTAAAGCAAGGTGAATGTTGTAGTCCCAAACGATAGCTGGGGATTCTGGGTAGTGTAGTGTCTTCGGAAACTCTGTAGTGTCTAAACTCCGAAAAAGAAATGTGTTTCTCCGAATCGAAAGTTAAAAACACAAAAGCATTGTACACAATTTAAACCAATCAATATTGTGTAATCAACAAGGATAAACTGATGTTTTTTAGTGGATGAGTAATGGAGATATCACTGTGTAATCATTTGACAGTGTGGGGAATACTTCCGGTTTTATTATGAAAACTTCGAGACCGGATATACTGTTTTCACCCACGCTAACTTTACATGGAAGCTGCGGTCCCCGTTCTCCTGGCGATACCTCAAATCATCTTCGTATATCTATCAAACTGTAGACCCTACACATCCACTGGACGTAGATTATAAAAGTACAATATACACTTCTCGCTAGAAATCTAATAAAAAAGCATTGTAATGGCCAAACTATTCCACAATTTAGGATTTTCCAGAGAGGGTTATTTGTGAATAAACGACTCTCCGGAGCGTTTGCAATCGACAGGAGCATGTTGTTTCTTACACGACCACTAGAGGTGCTACACTTTAAAACGTGACTCTGGGTCTACTGCTGAACAATGGACCTCTATGGTCGTTTTTTGTAGGAGGACAGGCTGGTTATTCTCTACTAATAGTTAATTAAAAACTGTATATAATTGCTATTTTGCACATCCCTTTCAAGATTTCCAGATTTTCTAAGGTTTATTGACATATCATATACACAACTACGGTGTAGTTATGCAATGAATGAAACACTTGGGTCACAGGTTCCTCAACAGTGCATTACAAGACATCTATCAATATGTGTGTATACCTCCACCATTAAACTGTCAAATTCTTCAAATGTATTATACTATCTACATACATAAGAGTATAATTAATGTGTATAATATCAGTTAAAATAAGTGCTTCAACATAGTTAACATTGCAGGAAAGCAATACATTAGATGTTAAGTTCTTTGTCAGGCTTAATATTTATCTGTAGATAGATACCCCCACAGCTTTTTTCTTATTTGAAAGAAGACCTTAACCTAAAGTATTATTTAATGTGTTAATAAAGGTTAATTAGTTTGTCTGTTTTGAACATCCTCATATTAATATCTTTGTACATCCAGCACTAAACTGTTTTATTGTAGAGATCACTTACAGTATCTTCTTGATTTTTTTATATTCTATATTTATATCATTGACCCTCTACTTTCTCCCTATGCAAGTATGTACTCTTAATATTTTGTTCATCAAATAACATTATTCAACAAAAATAACATTATTCCACAAAAATAATGCAATAACGTGCTTTAACCACTAGGTGGTGCACACAAAGTACACACAGCATACTAATAATAACTTTGTATTATTAGTGTAGGACACTTATGTATGTATAACATCTGAAGATGTGTAGTTTTATTCATGTTTTTACATACTTTTACAGGATATTGCTATACTATTTCTCATGTTTTACTTCTACACATTAATATCTGATTTGTAAAACATCACAGACAGAAAGGCATACCCGTCATTTAATGGTCAGCTATTGCAATTGTGATTCCATAGATGTGTCTCCCATCACCCAAAACCCATGACTATTCTCTCAACTCAGTATTTACATTCTTATATTCAAAGAAAATCAGTAATATCTTTAAAAACTACAAGTCCTTTTCTATCAGCTGTGCACCGTTATGGTGTAAATATAACCTATCTACCAATTGGATCAAATATAAAAGTCAGCCGAATTACTATTGATACTGCAAGGAGACGTATTTTGTGAAAAGAAATGCAAGATGTTGTTTAATTGCTGATATATTTATGATCCACGTCACATATTCCGTTTTGGCGGCAGTTCTTCAAGTATGTCCAGAAGTCTTCTTAGCAGGGCTCTATAAATAATGAACTACGGCAGATGTGTAATATTTAATGTGGCCGAACCATGTATTACAATGCCGTTATGTGATGACTTCCAAAGAGAAAAGCAAGCACACTCGGAATAACAATTTTTTTTTTATAAATGTTTTCGGATATCATATCGCATTAACATCATATCCCAACATGCATTGCGGCTAAAACATCCAATCAACGAGCTTCAAGCTTAGGATCTTGGGTAATTTGTTCAGTGGGTTTGTGGTGTGTATCGCTCGAAATGTCCCTTATAGGCTTACATCTGTTTCCGGTTACTTTATTTACGGCTAAAAAGCATGCTAAAAAGCCCAAGATTATAGAATTAAACGAATAAATAAAAACAAGGATAATTGTGTGTTATTGTTGAGTAAATAACAGTGTGTTATTTAGAAATAATAACAAATTAGAAGGAAAAAAAGATTTTCAAAAATACAAATTTCAGTATTTTGAGGCTCTAAGCCCCATTTATTTTCCTCACAGACGGGAAAAAAAGTCCGACATTATACGATTTAAAATAAAAAGATAAAACACTGGCATGTAATTTATGTTAGAATAAATAGAATGGTTTTGAATAATTGATGAGAGTAAAATCTACGTCACTTTACAGCCCCGCCCACTTTAGGGAAAACCAACGCTGTCATTTGAACGGCAATCAAGCCTGAAGCCACAGAGATCTTCTGTTACGGCCCGTCCACACAGCGGCGTGCGTTGAGGCTTGCCGGCGGGCGTGTCTGACACTCGACCAACAACCAATCACATGAATCTCCCGCCCCTGACACACAAGCAGCGGTTTGATTGGCTAGAGCTTGTACTGGCATATGATTCGATTGGCTGACGCTTCTGCCGAGGCGTCAAAAGTTGAACATTGCTCAACTTTTGAAGCGAGCAACGCCAGCAACGCTCCGCGTCGCTTCCCAAAATGCAGTTCGGCTAAAAGTGACGTCACCCCATTCAAAGTGAATGGGCAGAAGCGTTTCAACGCACGCCGCTGTGTGGACGGGCCGTTACTGTCCTTTCTTCTTCGGAAGTACAGAAACACGTAACTCTGGATTTGTTTTAATGTTTGAGGTGCAATAAATGACACAGTACGGAGCCCCCTAGGGGACATGGAGAAGAAAAAAATAAATAATTTGAAAAAATAATAATGTTTTGCGAGATCTCGCAAAACCTTTGCGAGATCTCGCAATACTTTTCATTTAGTAATTCCTGGTCAGTTCGGCTGCTACATGGGCTGCTACGGCAACACAGAAACCACAACAATGGAGTGGTTCATCGATTTTACTTTGAGCTTGGCCTTGGATTAAATATAAAGATATAACATCAGTGCTTGGCAATAGGCACGGGTTTCACACATAGACATATAAAAGGGTTTCACATAAGTGAAGACACCTCAAGAGAACACTCAGAGCGAGGGGACATGCACGTCCCTCTGAGCTGAGTTATTGACAGATTCGAATTTCGCGGATCAATAACTCATGAACATAACGTTGTAAAAATACAAACAACATGACTTTACAATCATAGCAAGGTAGACAACGAGCTACAGAGTCGTTTTTATCAGAACAGTTTGATACGCGCCGTCATCCGAGCTAAACATCAATAATTGGTCACAATCTGCAGCTGGAGGAGGGAGAGGAGTGCTTAGGGACCGTCTACAAACTGCAACGGGGTTTTGCGAGATCTCGCAAAAGTATTGCGAGATCTCGCAAAAGGGTTTTGCGATATCTCGTAAAATAATTTTTTTTTCTTCTCCATGTCCCCTAGGGGGCTCCGTAACACAGCAGCTTTTTGGCATGTTAAAACTATTATTTTCTGCCTCGCTCATCAGCTACTGATTTCAAATGTGTGCTCTAAAATGATATTTATAAATGACTATTATCATTATTATAAGCAAGACAATAAATGGCAAAGATATGTAGAAAATAAACGTATTTAAGATACGTTCATAAGGAACGTAACGTGGGAGGAAATACGTTTCTAGCTAAACGTAATTGAGAATGCAGTTTAGTTCTGTGGGATCGTAATTTTTAGGAGACAGGGTTGTCACGCGAGCCGATGTGCAACAGTCCATAGTAAGAAAAGAGTGTTTTAGAAAGCAGTGAGCTTACAACTTTAAGTGTAAGTAAGTGTATCACCAAAAGAGCTGTGACGTGAACAATATTCTGTTTTTTTTAATAAGCTCAAATACCTGCACATATTAAATTCAGTCAAATTATATTGTTACAAGTCTGATTGTGGTTTCTGATGTGCTCTGTGTTGCAGTGGTTCAGTGTATGGATGACTGGGGAGTGACTTTCTCTTCTACTGCGATCTGTGCAGTAAAAGGATCAACAGTGGAGATAAGATGCAGCTTCACATACCCGTCCAGATGGAAAGACGTTGTTAACACAGTAGGAAAAACATTCTGGTTCACTAAATGGAAAGGTGGTGAACCTGTAGATCTGACCACAGACTCAGAGTACGCAGGTCGTTTAGAGGATCTCTGTGAAAACAACATCTGCACTCTGAGAATCAGAAACCTGAGAGAGAGCGACTCAGCTGAGTACAAGTTCAGGATCGAAACAAACCAAGACGTTTATGCTAGTGAACCAGTCACTCTGTCTGTCACAGGTAACACTTTGTTTGTAACTATGTAAGTCAGCTCAACATTTGGTCAACACTGCAGTGAATGTCAGTAAATCTACTACACGTACAATGATAGTTCAGTTTATCACGTTTGTTCCTCACAAATCCAGGTCTCCAGGTGACAGTGACCAAAACCAGTTCCTGCACAGGAAGCTGTATATATGCAACACTGAAGTGTCTCAGCAGTTGTCCTCCAACTTCTGGTCCTCCCTATATCTGGTACAGGAATGGACTGAAATTGACAGAAGTGGGAGAACATTTGTATTACTATTTCTATCCTGAAGAAAGCTATGCCTGTGCTGTTAAAGGATATGAGAATTCCCCCTCTCCTTCAGTGTGTGAGTTCACTTACAGTCTTCCACCAACATGATGCTATACCTTATTACATAAAAGGGAGACACTGTCCCCAGCAATACATTCAGCCTTGAGTTAAGGCAATTACATTTTCATAATAATTAACCAAAGATATTTCATTTTTCAGGTGTTAATGGTCAAGACTGCAATACAGTGGCTTACAGTGAAAGAAGCATCTGTGCCTTCAAAGGATCCTCAGTGGACATTTCCTGCACGTACAGCAGTAATGCATATGTTCAATCTACATTCTGGTTCAGTCCTGAGCGTAGAGATCAGGACCTTAGTACAGACTCCCAGTATGCAGGTCGTGTTCAGATCCTTGAAACAGAGAGAGGACGCTCCACTCTGAGGATCTCTGACCTGAGAGACTCAGATTCAGCTCAGTATCGCTTCAAATTCAAAACACCAAGCTTTGAATGGAGGAGTGATTTACCTGGTACCACTCTGACTGTCACAGGTACTGACCAACACACTGAGGAAAATACACCTACACTTTATACCTTCAAATACAGTCCTAAGCTCCTCGTCATCAGCCTCGCAGCTATTCAACAATGATTATGTTTACGGAAAAAAAGTTAACATCGCTGAATATCAAATTATTCCTAAACCACCAGCGTTAGAGATGTTTTGACCACACATTTGTTTACATTAAAAGTTTTAAGAGATGCATTTGACTTCAGAATGCAACATTTTGGTGGAAGATTTCTGTAATTCTTAATTATTGCAACAAAAAGTGAAATTGCAATTTCAGTTTTTTCTAATAAGGTGCATCCCTAGTTTGTAAGTTAGCACGATTGTGGCTAACATTGGAAGTCAGAGCAGTGCGCCGTTTCTTAATGTTTTCACAATAATTACGATATATATTTATGATTATCACTTTGCCCATGAGCCTGCATGATAAGGTGTAAATAGTAGTTTTGATTTAGGAAAAGGTGTGTATATTGCAATATTTTAACATGCAAATGAATAACAGTTTAATGGGAGTATTAAAAAAGACGGTGCTCTTCATCTATCAGCCCCCCACCCCTTACATAACAAACCCCAAATTAACCGCTGGACCAACTGATATAATATTGTGTCATTTCAAATGTTTATTTTTCTCATATCCAGCTCTGCAGGTGCAGGTGATCACAGCAACAGTCCAGCAGTCTGATACCTTAGCAGAGCTGAAGTGTCACAGCAGCTGCAGTCCAGCTGGTGGTGTTTCCTACGTCTGGTTCAAGAACGGAGAGAAAATCCACACAACATCGATATCTTCTTATAAAGGCTTGCTTCCCCACGCAGACAGGATCTCATGTGCTTTTGAAGGACATGAAGGCTTCCCCTCTCCTGCAGTGTGTGAGTTTACTCATACACACACACACACACTGACATTACAATGACAATTTCAGAGGATTCTTCTGAATCTGAATGCAGATGCCGCAGTTATATAGAAAAAGAAAGCTTAACTACAGCCAGTAAAAAAGCCATCTTGGGTAAAGAGACACACAGATGACATAGGTTTAGGTGGAGACCTCATTTTTAATAAAGAAGAGTTACAAACAAAACTAAATATCAACAATAACAGAAAATCATTTAGGCACCAAGAGACCCCACAAAGAAAGATATCATAAATTAGGTCATTCAAGGTTGCAGGTGCAAGATGAGAACATTTAGATTTTGCAAGCACCTGCAACGTAATTTAATCTTGATGAGAGCCCACAAGATAATTTAAGGAGGTGAAAAAACAAAAGCAGCAGCCATGGGTTTAACTGCAGTGGATTTGTTGTCTTCCTCCTCTCTGTGAGACGTACTGTACGATCTGCATTTATATTGTAAGATAGTTCAAACCCTTTAGAAATACAGCACCATTTAGCATGGTAATACTATGTCTGTATGGATGGAAATAATGACTGTACATACAGTACCTACATTAACAAACAACACATGCTTTAGATAATTGCCAATTCATCGCTGTGTTGAACTTCCTCTATCGTCCTGCAGTCCTCAACATAACTTTAAATGAATGTTGTTTAGTGGATATTGTAGCTTTGATAAATATCTAATTTCTGCAGAGAAGCCAGATGCTTTCTTTTACCTGACAATGAGGAGACCTAGGTGCAACATGTACCAGTTTTGTCGACTTTTGCAAGAAATTAGCAGTAAAATACTTAGAAATAAACTCTCTGTCAGTCATTTGTTATCTTAAAATCACACTTCTCAATGTTCTGCTTTTCTTTGAAGTTTCCATTCACGCCCTGCAGCAGCCGGATCACTGAGAGAAAAGCAAGCCAGAAACGAGGACTCTGTCACGATCCTAATGTTTTGTCATGTCTTGTTATGGGTGTTGTTTTGTGGTTCTGTTCTCCCTGTTTCTTGTCCGGTCCTTCTCCCTGTGTTTTCCTCCCTGTCGTTAGTTTCCTTGGTGTGTCTATTTGTCTGATTGTGTTCACCTGTTGCCCTTGTGTTTCTCCCTCCTTTACCCAGCTGTTTCTTGTTCCTTGATTACCCCTCCCTGTATTTAGTCTCTTCCTGTGTTCCCCTGTCGGTTCATTGTTTGTTTGTCTTCCCTTCACGCTTCATGTTTGTCTCTCCGTTCTTCCTCCATGTTTTTCACGGTCAGTTTTTGTGTTATTGTTTTCCTGAGCTACCGTTTGATTCTTGCCATCGTTTTGTTATCAGCTTTTAAATAAAGCTCGCTTTTTGTTTCTAAACCTTTTTCTGTTTTTGTAGTCTGCATTTGGGTCCTACCTTTTCCACAATTTCCCGAATCCTAACAGACTCATTGTTCTGATCCACACCCCTCTAATATTTTATTCTCATCTTTTTCTAAGGTTCGAAATCTAAGTATTTATCTTAGTATTTATCAGGTAAATACTGCATTAAAGGTTAAATACACTGCTGCATGATGTCCTACGTCAACATTATATATGTTTTCGTGCCTCTGTTCACTGGAAACAACATTAAAACATTTAAAAGTATAAACCCAGTTAGAAACAAACATCAGAACATTCCTCTGTATGTAAATCAATATAATATAAAATAGTAGAAAGACGTGTTTGATAATGATAAGAAAGTCTGTCTACTGACGAGTCTGATGAATGTTTCTGTTGTGCTCTGTGTTTCAGTGTTTCAGGGTCTGGATGGCTGGGGAGTGACTTACTCTTCTACTGAGATCTGTGCAGTGAAAGGATCAACAGTGGAGATAAGATGCAGCTTCACATACTCGTCTACATGGAGAGGCAGAGTTAACACAGTTAAGAAAACATTCTGGTTTATACAGAAAGGTGGTGAACCTGTAGATCTGACCACAGACTCAGAGTACGCAGGTCGTGTAGAGTATCGCTGTGGAAACAACATCTGCACTCTGAGAATCAGAAACCTGAGAGAGAGCGACTCAGCTGAGTACAGGTTCAGGTTAAAAACAAGCCAAGCAGGAGGAGAATATAGTGGTTCACCTGGAGTCACTTTGTCTCTCACAGGTAACACCAATCAGTTCCAAATGTTCAACATTAAGAAAACAATAATATAAATGCGATGTGTTTTTATATACATGAATGTTGAGAGTTGTCTTAAATAACCTTCCTGTTCCTTCTTCACAAATACAGATCTCTCGGTGCAGGTGGAACGCAAATATTCTAGCAGAGCAAACCTGAAGTGTCAGAGCAGTTGTGATGTACCTGATAATGATTACGTCTGGTACAAGAACGGACGAAGCACTCTGTCAGGAACTTCTTCTCTTCAAGTCGACTTTAATTATCAAGACAGCTATTCCTGTGCCTTGAAAGGATTTGAGGACTCTCCCTCCCCTTCAGTGTGTGAGTTCACTTCACTACCTTATTCTAACATAACACCATTCTAGTGGAAGCCTTAGCTAACTGTATGGGTATGTGACTTCTCATCAACTCTGGTAAAAATATGGTTTAAAAACTTTGTTTAAATGTTTCAGGTGTCACTGGTCGAGACAGCAACACGGTGACTTCCATTAAAGGAAGTATCTGTGCCCCCGAAGGATCATCAGTGGACATTTCCTGCACGTACAGCAGTAATGACTGTATTACATCAAAGTTCTGGTTCAGTCCTGAGCGTAGTCATCAGGGACAGAATCCCTCTCAACCTGAGGACCTCAGTGAAGACTCCCAGTATGCAGGTCGTGTTCAGATCCTTGAGACAGAGAGAGGACGCTCCACTCTGAGGATCTCTGACCTGAGAGACTCAGATTCAGCTCAGTATCTCTTCAAATTCAAAACACCAAGCTTTGAATGGAGGAGTGATTTACCTGGTACCACTCTGACTGTCACAGGTACTGATCAACACACTGATGAAAATAGACCTACACTTTATACCTTCAAATACAATCCTAAGCTCCTCGTCATCAGCCTCGCAGCTATTCAACAATGATTATGTTTACGAAAAAAAAGTTTACATTGCCGAATATCAAATTATTCCTAAACCACCAGCGTTAGAGATGTTTGGACCTCACATTTCTTTACATTAAAAGTTTTAAGAGATGCATTTGACTTCAGAATGCAACATTTGGGTGGAAGATTTCTGTAATTCTTAATTATTGCAATCAAAAGTGAAATTGCAATTTCAGTTTTTTCTAATAAGGTGCATCCCTAGTTTGTAAGTTAGCACGATTGTGGCTAACATTGGAAGTCAGAGCAGTGCGCCGTTTCTTAATGTTTGTCACAATAATTACGATATACAGTGGGGCAAAAAAGTATTTAGTCAGCCACCAATTGTGCAAGTTCTCCCACTTAAAAAGATGAGAGGCCTGTAATTTTCATCCTAGGTATACCTCAACTATGAGAGACAGAATGAGAAGAAAAAAAAATCCAGAAAATCACATGTCTGATTTTTAAAGAATTTATTTGCAAATTATGGTGGAAAATAAGTATTTGGTCAATAACAAAAGTTCATCTCAATACTTTGTTATATACCCTTTGTTGGCAATGACAGAGGTCAAACGTTTTCTGTAAGTCTTCACAAGGTTTTCACATACTGTTTCTGGTATTTTGGCCCATTCCTCCATGCAGATCTCCTCTAGAGCAGGGATGTTTTGGGGCTGTCGCTGGGCAACACAGACTTTCAACTCCCTCCAAAGATTTTCTATGGGGTTGAGATCTGGAGACTGGCTAGTCCACTCCAAGACCTTGAAATGCTTCTTACGAAGCCACTCCTTCGTTGCCCGGGCGGTGTGTTTGGGATCATTGTCATGCTGAAAGACCCAGCCACGTTTCATCTTCAATGCCCTTGCTGATGGAAGGAGGTTGTCACTCAAAATCTCACTATACATGGCCCCATTCATTCTTTCCTTTACACGGATCAGTCGTCCTGGTCCCTTTGCAGAAAAACAGCCCCAAAGCATGATGTTTCCACCCCCATATTTCACAGTAGGTATGGTGTTCTTTGGATGCAACTCAGCATTCTTTCTCCTCCAAACACGTCTAGTTAAGTTCTTACCAAAAAGTTCTATTTTGGTTTCATCTGACCATATGACATTCTCCCAATCCTCTTCTGGATCATCTAAATGCTCTCTAGCAAACTTCAGACGGGCCTGGACATGTACTGGCTTAAGCAGGGGGACACGTCTGGCACTGCAGGATTTGAGTCCCTGGCGGCGTAGTGTGTTACTGATGGTAGCGGGTCCAGTGTGCATCTGGACCCGGTGAAGACATTACCTATTGACGCAGCAACCACTGTAAGTTATATTCTTGTTTAATTAGACTTCTCTGTTTCATTTATTCGACTCTATATAAATTGTTATTGTAGCGTAAACGGCTAAATCGCGTTTGAGAGATTTTAAATCTCAGATCTGCTCAGGCGAAACCTGCTTTACAGGTCTCAGCACTCAAGCCTGCATTAATATAGGCACGGCCAGTCTATTGTCGCCCATCAGCTGTAGATAGTTAACTAATTAGAGGGCCGTGGCCCTACAGCTGTGAGAACTGAGCAATCAGGCGTCCATTTCGGGTAGCTCTTTCCTGGAGCGTCAGCTTCAGCGTCAGACAGCCGAAGACTGATAAAGACATTGGAGTCCTGCGGGAGTAAGACTGACAAAGACATTGGAGTCCTGCGGGAGTCACGAGGGAGGCAAAGAGGAGGCAAATCCTACTCTGATCGAGCTGGTGTCTTATTTCTCTTTTCTTTAGTTGTCTCGCCCCGCATGCTATAATCATGTGTATTTTCTCTATTCCTGTTCATGTGTCTTCTCGCAATTATCACTGGCCCCGTGTATCTCCTAATCGATATAACCGGCCTGCTCTCGTCTATCCCACGTGCTCCACTGAGATCCAACATCTAGTTTCTGGTGGCCTGTGGAATTGCCAGTCAGCTGTTCCTAAGGCTGACTTCATCTCTGGCTACGCCTCCCTGCAGTCTCTGGATTTCCTTGCTCTCACTGAGACCTGGATTACTCCATCCAACACATCCACCCCAGCAGCTCTCTCCACTGCATATTCCTTCTCCCATACACCCAGACCCACTGGCAGAGGAGGTGGCACTGGTCTCCTGCTCTCTCCCAAATGGAGCTTTTCCCTCTTCAAGCTACCTAACTTCACTCCTTCCACCTTTGAATTCCATGCCGTCACAGTAACCCATCCTATACAGTTAACCATTGTTGTTCTCTACCGTCCACCAGGTGCCTTGGGGGACTTCTTGGAGGAATTAGATAATCTCCTCTCACTCATCCCTGAAACTGGCCCTCCCGCTGTACTTCTCGGAGACTTCAACCTCCAGACGGGGAAGATAGACGAACTAACATCTCTGTTAACCGCCTTTGCTTTCTCACTGTCTCCGTCCCCACCGACTCATAAAGCTGGCAATGTCCTTGATCTCATATTCTCAAGGAACTGCGCTACTTCTAACCTCTCTGTAAACCCGCTCCACACATCCGATCACTTCTTCATTTCATTCTCTCTATCCCTTTCCAAACATAACAAACTAATCTCTTCTCATCCTGCACTTGTCCGTCGTAACCTTCGCTCCCTCTCCCCCTCTAGCTTTGCCTCGTCGGTGCTCTCAGCCCTCCCTTCCTCTGATTCGTTCCATCTCCTGCCTCCAAACTCTGCTGCAGAAACTCTCCTCTCTACTCTCTCATCCACTCTGGACTCGCTCTGTCCTCTCACATCTCGGCAGGCTCGTCAGTCCCCTCCTGCTCCCTGGCTAAATGATGCACTGCGTGCTAATAGAACCGTCCTTAGGGCAGCAGAGCGGAAATGGTGGAAATCCAAACACCGTGACGACCTCCTAACCTATCAGGCTCTCCTCTCCTCTTTCTCTGCTTCGATCTCTCAGGCAAAAAGCACTTTCTTTCAAGATAAGATCCAATCTTCCTATTCCAATCCTAAAAAACTATTTTCCATCTTCTCCACCCTCTTGGACCCTCCAAAAGCTCCTCCCCCCTCCTCACTTCTGTCAAGCGACTTTGTTACCCACTTTGATAAAAAGGTTGATGATATTCGCTCTTCTTTTTCTGACTCACCTTTACTCACCGCTGGGTCACCAGACCCTCCTTCCACCAACACACTTACCTCCTTTTCCCCTCTCTCTCCAAGTGAGGTTCTTACCCTCATTACCTCTGCCCGCCCTACCACCTGTCCTCTGGACCCTATCCCTTCAAACCTCCTTCAGACTATCGCTCCTGATATTCTACCGTTTCTCACCCATTTCATCAACACTTTTCTAACTTCTGGTCACTTTCCAAACAGTCTCAAGGAGGCAAGAGTAAACCCTCTCCTAAAGAAACCCACTCTCAACCCGTCTGATGTTATAAACTACAGGCCTGTCTCTCTCCTCCCGTTCCTGTCTAAATCACTTGAACGCGCTGTCTTTAAACAACTCTCCTGTTATCTCCATCAGAACAACCTTCTGGATCCGCACCAGTCTGGTTTCAAGGCAGGTCACTCCACAGAAACTGCTCTCATTGCTGTCACGGAGGAACTGCACACTGCCAAAACTGCATCCCTCTCCTCTGTCATCATCCTATTGGACCTGTCTGCTGCATTCGACACGGTGAATCATCAGATCCTCCTTCGCACTCTCCAAGAACTTGGAGTTTCAGGCTCTGCACTTTCCCTCCTCACCTCATACCTGAAAGACCGTACCTACAGGGTGACTTGGAGAGGGTCTGAGTCCGACCCTTGTCAATTAACTACGGGGGTCCCTCAGGGCTCTGTTCTTGGTCCCCTCCTCTTCTCCCTGTACACAAACTCGCTCGGATCAGTCATTAGCCCGCATGGTTTTTCTTACCACTGCTACGCTGATGACACCCAATTAATTCTGTCCTTTCCCCGCTCAGAGACCCAGGTCGTCGCACGCATCTCTGCTTGTCTAGCTGACATCTCTCAGTGGATGTCTGCTCACCACCTCAAGCTCAACCTTGACAAGACTGAGCTGCTCTTCCTCCCGGGAAAAGATTGTCCCACTCTTGACCTAACAATCAACATCGGCACCTCAGTTGTTTCCCCGACTCAGACTGCAAGGAATCTGGGTGTGACCCTAGATAACAACCTGTCCTTCACTGCAAACATCGCTGCTACAACCCGTTGCTGCAGATACACGCTTTACAACATCAGGAAGATACGTCCCCAGCTGACTCAGAAAGCGACTCAGGTTCTGGTCCAGGCTCTCGTCATCTCACGCCTAGACTACTGCAACTCCCTCCTGGCTGGTCTACCTGCATGTGCCATCCGACCTCTGCAGCTCATCCAGAATGCAGCGGCTCGTCTGGTCTTCAACCTTCCTAAATTTTCCCACACCACTCCGCTCCTCCGCTCCCTTCACTGGCTTCCGGTAACTGCTAGAATCCACTTCAAGACACTGGTACTTGCTTACCATGCTGCGAATGGATCTGGCCCTTCCTACATCCAGGACATGGTTAAACCGTACACCCCAGCGCGTGCACTATGCTCTGCATCAGCCAAACGACTCGCTGCACCCTCGCTGCGAGGGGGACCCAAGTTCCCATTGGCGAAAACACGTGGGTTTGCTGTCCTGGCTCCAAGATGGTGGAATGAGCTCCCCATTGACATCAGGACGGCAGATAGCTTGCACATCTTCCGGCGCAAACTGAAAACTCATCTCTTTCGACTCCACTTCGAGCGTTAGAACTATTAACGAAGCACTTTTATACTAATAAAGGGCTGGCTTACCTAAAGCCAGTTGAGTAGCACTTGAAATGTTTGGCTCTATGAAACCTGATGTACTTATATGATTCTGTTTTCTTCAAGGTTGTGTCTTCCTGGTCGAATGTACTTATTGTAAGTCGCTTTGGATAAAAGCGTCAGCTAAATGCAATGTAATGTAATGTAATGTAGCCTTTGTTACTTTGGTCCCAGCTCTCTGCAGGTCATTCCCCCCATGTGGTTCTGGGATTTTTGCTCACCGTTCTTGTGATCATTTTGACCCCACGGGGTGAGATCTTGCGTGGAGCCCCAGATCGAGGGAGATTATCAGTGGTCTTGTATGTCTTCCATTTTCTAATAATTGCTCCCACAGTTGATTTATTCACATCAAGCTGCTTACCTATCGCAGATTCAGTCTTCCCAGCCTGGTGCAGGTCTACAATTTTGTTTCTGGTGTCCTTTGACAGCTCTTTGGTCTTGGCCATAGTGGAGTTTGGAGTGTGACTGTTTGAGGTTGTGGACAGGTGTCTTTTATACTGATAACGAGTTCAAACAGGTACCATTAATACAGTTAACGAGTGGAGGACAGAGGAGGCTCTTAAAGAAGAAGTTACAGGTCTGTGAGAGCCAGAAATCTTGTTTGTTTGTAGGTGACCAAATACTTATTTTACCGAGGAATTTACCAATTAATTCATTAAAAATCCTACAATGTGATTTCCTGGATTCTTTCCCCCCATTCTGTCTCTCATAGTTGAAGTGTACCTAGGATGAAAATGACAGGCCTCTCTCATCTTTTTAAGTGGGAGAACTTGCACACTTGGTGGCTGATTAAATACTTTTTTGACCAACTGTAATTATGATTATCACTTTCCCCATGAGCCTGCATGATAAGGTGTAAATGGTAATTGAAAATGGCACTTAGAAAAGTTAAGGGAAAGTTTTGATTTAGGAAAAGGTGTGTATATTGCAATATTTAAGATGTAAATGAATAACAGTTTAATGGGACTATTAAAAAAGACTGTGCTCTTCATCTATCAGCCCCCCACCCCTTACATAACAAACCCCAAATAAACCGCTGGACCAACTGATATAATATTGTGTCATTTCAAATGTTTATTTTTCTCATATCCAGCTCTGCAGGTGCAGGTGATCACAGCAACAATCCAGCAGTCTGATACCTTAGCAGAGCTGAAGTGTCACAGCAGCTGCAGTCCAGCTGGTGGTGTTTCCTACGTCTGGTTCAAGAACGGAGAGAAAATCCACACAACAACGAGATCTTCTTATAAAGGCTTGTTTCACCACGCAGACAGGATCTCATGTGCTTTTGAAGGACATGAAGACTTCCCCTCTCCTACAGTGTGTGAGTTTACTCATACACACACACACACACACACACTGACATTACAATGACAATTTCAGAGGATTCTTCTGAATCTGAATGCAGATGCCGCAATTATATAGAAAAAGAAAGCTTAACTACAGCCAGTAAAAAAGCCATCTTGGGTAAAGAGACACACAGATGACATAGATTTAGGTGGAGACCTCATTTTGAATAAAGAAGAGTTACAAACAAAACTAAATATCAACAATAACAGAAAATCATTTAGGCACCAAGAGACCCCACAAAGAAAGATATCATAAATTAGGTCATTCAAGGTTGCAGGTGCAAGATGAGACATTTTTGATTTTGCAAGCACCTGCAACGTAATTTAATCTTGATGAGAGCCCACAAGATAATTTAAGGAGGTGAAAAAACAAAAGCAGCAGCCATGGGTTGAACTGCAGCAGCGAGTGGATTTGTTGTCTTCCTCCTCTCTGTGAGACGTACTGTACGATCTGCATTTATATTGTAAGATAGTTCAAACCCTTTAGAAATACAGCACCATTTAGCATGGTAATACTATGTCTGTATGGATGGCCTTTCCACAGAGAAACACTCAACATAGCAAAGAAGACTCTTTTTATGTACCACACCCTCTAATATGTATTCATTTATTTTGTCTAAGAAATACTGTGTTAAGGTTTTGTCCTGCCTCAGTGCACTAACATCACTTACTCATAACTCTATACCTCATTCACACCAACGGTGTTTCGGGGCCGGTTTCGGAGCTGGAGTTTGAAAAGCACCGTGTTTTCCTGTTCGCACCGCAGCGGAGCAGCCTCTTAGCTCCAGAATCCGGTTCGTTTCAAGCACCAAAAATGGTCCGGTCAGAGCAAAAGCACCGCATACGTCACGCTTACGTCGAGGCGGGGGCAGAGACAGGATCAACTCCTGAAGAACAACAAAAAGCCCGCGTTTTATCCAGTTTGTTCACAACGATGGAGAAACTTAACAAGAGTTTCAGAGTTTCAGTGTTTCTGCCATAGACTGTATAAAGGTTTCTGCTCATGGTGAAGCAACGTGTCTGCGTGTTAAGGTGGAACCTGAGCATTCACGTTGATCACCTCTCATTATAACTCATTATAAATCTATAAAACTATAAATATTAAACTTTACTTCACGTGTTCATTTGAGAACAGCTGTTACATACCTGGGTGAAGGTTACAGTTCATTTAAATGAAAGATACAACGTTACTCCACACTCATGGTTCAGTCCACCTTAAGAAATAAGACCGACCTCGGAAGCAGTTGTGTTTTAAAAAAAACCTTTATTGACACGAGTACACTTTTTTATAAGAATATAGTCTAACTCTAAACCACAGAAATGACTCCGGAAAAGCTGCAGATAGAGCCATAAGAAATGAATGCAACTGATTTCATCCACGCGGTTTGGCTTTATGAAGCAGGCACGCAAACGGTTACGTCATGACGCAAACGATGACGCAATGACGCAGCACCAGTCGGACTCTGGCGGTGTGAAAAGAGCCAGAGCTAAACCGAAGAACCGGTTCTGAACCTGAAAAGCTCTAGCACGGAGCTTGAACCGGAGTTGCGTTGGTGTGAATGAGGTATTATGCGGCTTTCACACCAGCGCTTTTCCCTTTCTAGCTCCGTGCCGGAGCTTTTCTGGTTCAGCTCCGGTTTCCCTTTTCTGCTCCCGCTCTGTTCACACCGCCCAGAGCTGCCGCTGCTGCGTCATGACGTCACCGTTTACGTGCCTGCTTCATAAAATCCAAACCGCGGAAATCCCTCACATCGACAACAACAACAATGGCCGATTGTATTGAAGCGCTGTTCGCTTTGGTTATCCTCTTACGAAACGACATGGAAGCAGGGCCGCCCCTGGCCAACTTGGGGCCCCAAGCGACATTGTGAGATGAGGCCCCCCCAACCGACAGGAGTGAAATAAAATGTTTTTGGAAACAAAGTAGGCTACTTTGCAAATATAATTCCTGTTTATTATTATTATCAACACTTTTTTATGCAGTGAGGTAAATGGTTGTGCATGTATGTCGTTCAGTATGCGTTTACAGGTGAATACGTCTGCATTTCCTGCCAAATACTAGCCTCAAAAAGATTAAAATATAATTAATGCAAATAAACAACTTCTACTAATAATAATAATCATAATCAATTCAATAATATAAATACTATATTATTTTATTATAATATAGTTGTATAGTCAAGACAAAACATGCTTATGACATGCTCAAAACTGATATTTCTTAAATCTGTATTAAAATAAGTTCCCTCTGTCAGCAATGTATCAACAACTACACACACATTTCTATCAGTATTTGTCTGTGTTGTGGTTGACATGATGATGACTGTTAGGAGTTAAGGGGAGAGGCTGAGCGTCACCATGAAATGTGCAAATTGACATAAAAATGAATATAAGGGGGAAAAATGCTCCATGTTTTTTAGGCTGTAAACTTTGACTGTTATGTAAGCCAACTAGACAGACAGTGTATCACTCTTCCTCCTGTACATTAGCAGATAAAAGGCATAACATACTTGAATGAATGTTAAATAAAGAATGCTGGAAATAACTGCATCTCCATTAGCCTATATGCTATGCAGAGACTGCCTTCTTCATGTCCTGAATTACAGCTGATGTTTTAATATGGCAATTGGCAATTTGACTTATACAACATTCGCAAGTTGTACATTTGACTCATACAATAACCCACCTTCGAGTGATGCTCTAGTTTCTTCATGTTTTGTTTTTTTCCCCTCTTGCTTGTGCCGGACTGAAACTGTCTTTTCACCGACATCTCTTCACCTGCACTAGTGGCCGTATCAAAGCCGTGATTGGTCAGATGTCGATTCATTGCAACGGTGTCGGGTTACAGACCCTTGTCACCTCTCACTCTCGCGTGTCAGCCGGGGGTGCGCGGAGAACTGAGCGGAGAACTGCGCACAGCAGCTGAGGCCCTCTGGGCGGGGCCCCCTGCGCAAGGCGGGGCCCCATGCAGTCTGCGTGATTGGCCTGTAGGGAGGGGCGGCCCTGCATGGAAGGCATCGGACGACTTTACTTGGAACTTTACAAACATCACATGCGAAATGCAAGAGTCTTCTTTGTGGTCTTCAGCATCAACGACAAATCTGCCCCTGCTCCCGCCTCGACGTAAGAGAGACGTAAGCGACGCCGCCTCTTAGCTCCGAAGCTCTTGCCTCTAGACCGAAAAAAATGTGGAGCTGGAAGTTAACCGGATTCCGGAGCTAAGAGGCGGCGCGGTGTGAACAGGAAAAACCGGTACTTTTCAGGCTCCAGCTTCGAGTCCGAGCTGAAAACGCGTTGGTGTGAAAGGGGTATTATACTCATAACTCTATACCTCAGACACTATGGCATAACATGGAAACAACACTAAAACTATATTCACAATATATTTAACCCATTAAGGTAAATTATTATAATATGAACAATGTAAGAAAAACCTTTAATACTGAGTTTTGTAGCGTTCCCCCAAGCTCCTCAACCCAAAAACAGGTTAAGGAGGTGAAAAAACAATAAGATAATTACAAATAAATGAAACAAGGTTCTCATACAGAGAGACGTACAATATTATAATAATCTTCAATCATACATTTGAGTTTGTAGTGATTAACATCACAGTCTTCATCCGTTGCCCTGTATCGACTAAAAATCAAGTGTACCTTAGTGTAAAGTGTAAAGTTTCAATGTTGTGCACGTTTTGGACAAAGGTTAAATCCGTCCAACAAGCATTTTGTCAAACCATGTTCGAAGTCCAAAATGTAGCTACATTTAGTGTTCAATAATGTAGATACCCTTTGTGCTAATCTAGTGAGCAACACATTCTTAATATTGTTAACACATCTCTTCCAGACTCTCCAAAGCTCCCGTCTGTGTCAGTGAGTCCCTCTGCTGAGATAGAGGAGGGCAGTTCAGTGACTCTGACTTGTAGCAGTGATGCTAACCCAGCAGCTAACTACACCTGGTACAAGAGGAATATAAAAGAATATCTTCCTCTTTTCAAAAAAGAACCAAAGCTTGTCTTCAGCTCCATTAATTCCTCTGACTCTGGACAGTACTGCTGTACAGCTGGGAACAAGCTGGGGACGAAGGCATCTAAAGACATCTCTATTGATGTGAATTGTGAGTAATTGTTGTTAGTTTCTTATATCTACTTGCTATACATTTAGAGTCTGGTGTAATTCACCGAGAAGCTTCAGGAGATTATAGAAGCTTTGTCCGGTTTAAAGTCCCAGAATCAAACAATGAGCCATCCATTTATCACTCCACCTTCAAAGTCTAAAATGCATCTACACAGCTATTCACATTTTGTGATTTAAATACTCTGTACAACATGTACTACGTGAGAATCAACTTCACCTAAGGTAATCTTTGCTGAACCCCAACCCCCCCGCCCCCGGGTGGAAAAACGCATCATCTGCAGCACACAGCGTCTGAGGGCATCTTAATATTTAATAAACTATGAATATTTTATATCCATGTAACGGGAAGAAACTCAGCTAACTGATCTTTTTTTGTTTTTAAATATATAAAATCTACATTGATTCTGACTTTTCTACATCCAACTCACAGGTTTATCATTACTTTGAGAAAAAAGATTATTAATTTTCCCCTTTTTAGAGAAATGTAGTTATGGTCATTTTTTTTGTCATTGTCATTTTGTACCCTGTACAACATGTACTACATGAGAAACAACATCACTTAGGGTAATCTTTGTTAACACATTTCTATTCAAGAACTGGAGCAGAACTTTCCCATAACTGGGCAAAGGTGTAAATCCAAGAAAGATCAATGCACAGTACTGCCCACATGGAAGAAAGGCTGATTATATTATTAGCAGAAGAAAGTCAGAATGAGCAGCTGCAGTGGGGCAAGCCTCAGTAACATCAGTAATCATAGGAGGGCTTCTCATCCTCTTTTGACCTGAGGCTTCAGTAAAAGTCCGGTCTGTGTGTAAGGACAGCTCTGTCGGATGCCTTATTATGGTGTCAGTTATTTCAGTATTTACAGTGGGTGTCAGTTAATTCATTATGTGGTGACTATTGCCACTCAATATCACCTGGGATTGACCAAACTGGGTTTAACTAATTGGACGCGTGTAATCTCCAAGTATGACGAAGTGTAGCTTTCAATATCTTTTATTTTCAAAGAAAACAGCGTGTTCACAGACATGCTAAAAAAACGATTGCTCTCCCAGTCACAATCAATGCACCTGTGCCTGGAGATCACTTGTATGCTGTTGCCCCATTACGCCATCTAGTGTTCAAATAACAAAACATATAAACCATTCTAATGGGCGCAACACATATCATGTCTGATAAATATCCAAGCATACAGTAATAATACTACAAATGCAAATACTGTGACTCTGGCATAAAATGGGCTATGGACTAGTGTTTACATTTTAAATTCTATATGTGCTATAGATGAATATTCATCCACTCAACAACTCATTATTTCAATGTACATTTGGAAATGTGTCTTTCTTATACCTTTCCAGTTGTGTGTATAAAACCGCAGGAGGTCAGTCTCCTAACCGTTTTTGCTAATCTAGTAAGCAACACATTGTCTTGGATGCAACTGGTGCAGTGTTAAACCAAATGTAAAGTACATGCATAGCCTTTCTAAGTAAAGCCATAACATATTGCAATCACTTTTGTTATTGCAACATTTGAAGTCCCAGACGCACATTGCTACACAAACTGTGTTTTTCTACAGTGTGAGGAGATTTTGAGTCACTTAACATTGTTGTGATGCATCTTCTTCAAAAAGATGAGGCCATGAAGAGAAAACTTGTGGCCAAATGTCATCGTCAGGTCTATCAGGAAATATTTTAATCTGCCATCTTTGCAGATTTGATAACACCCTGTCTCATGGAGCAGGGTTTCTATTGTAGATGGAAGTGAAGTGAGCTTAATCGTTGTGTTGCTGCTTCTGGTTTGTTGTAGCCATATGCCCACAAAACTGGTTTCTCTCTTTTGTCCTCCAGATGCTCCAAAGACTTCCTCTGTGTCAGCGAGTCCCTCTGCTAAAATAGAGATTGGCAAATCATTGCAGCTGACCTGTAAAGGTGGCGCTAATCCAGCAGCTAACTACACCTGGTACAAGGACAACCAAACACTGCCTTGGGGGTCAAAAGACATTCATCAACTCGCCTCTATCACCTTAGAGGACAAAGGGAACTACCACTGTGAGTCTAAGAATAAGTACGGCCAGATCAACTCTACATCAGTACACATAGATGTCCAATGTAAGTCCAAAACATCAACAAGTCACCTAATATACATGTGTTGAGTAGAGATGGTGATTGTTAACCTGTGATGATCTTTCCCTGGTAAAAACATTATCTAAAATAAATTCATAAAGCATGTCTATCACCTTTTGATGTCTAACATATTCACATGCCATGTGTACGTTAAAAAAGGTTTGTGATCCCTTGAGTCATTCCTCGAGTCCATGCCAGCTTGGAAGCAATACCTCTAAAAAGAGTTGGATTTCATGTAATGCTAATATGTCACTGTTACTTCTAAGGTTTCATTTGTTTTAGTCCAAAATGCCTCTGTGTTTGATAAAGGGATGACTCTTTATTGGCTGCAGCTGAAGGATTTACGCCATTCATGACATGAGCTCTCCATACTTTACTCTGTGATTTGCCTACTTGGCTTTCTTTATGTAAATCTTAGGGATGAACACATTTTTCATTTTTCTAGTTTCATTAGTTTGGTCCTCTTATGTCTGCTGAGAGAGTAAACCAACGTTTCAATCAAATGAACTGTAGCTTTCAACTAAGGATACGACTCGAGCTTATTGGCACAATCTTTGCAGGAACAATGTACACATCGTAGGATCAAGAACATGTGTTTGCTGCTAATAGATTGATTGACTAACGATCTTATCAATCTCCTAAAATATTGCATAGTACACAATCTAGATTGCAGTGCTCAGGTCAAAAACAAGGCCACTTTGTTTCCCCTTCCGCACACCTTGATGATATCAAGTGGGGAATTAGTAGATCTACTTTACTAAAGATACACTTCTACACATTCTCTTCCAGATGCTCCAAAGCTTCCCTCTGTGTCAGTGAGTCCCTCTGCTGAGATAGAGGAGGGCAGTTCAGTGACTCTGACCTGTAGCAGTGATGCTAACCCAGCAGCTAACTACACCTGGTACAAGAGGAATGAAGACTCTCCAAAAGCTTCAGGACAGATCTTCACCATCACTGACTTCAGAGCTGAACACAGTGGGAGTTATTACTGTGTAACCCAGAACAAAATAGGACGTCTTAACTCTACCTTACATCTGTCTGTTGTGGCAGGTAAGTCATTTCACACCACAGGACCTCCCAAGAGGCACAGCAACTTTAGCACTACAATTCTTTGAAGATCCAAGATGCAATTAACTGTTACACTCTCTGGACAGAATTTTTATTTTGAATTCTAAATCTGAGGTTTGCTACTCGAAGTTGCCGGACTTTTTGTGATAATTTCAAGCACCCACATAGTCTACTTCCCCTCTCTGCTAAGCCACAGGCATCGACAACAACCTCTGCATTACTCTGCATTGGGTTGTCAACCAGTACAACCAATCTATATTTATGTTTGCCTTACCATTGGTCATCTTGCTAAAGTGAGGCTTTTTGACTACTTGCAAGTCTTCCAACACTCTCTGCTCTCCCAGTCGAGGTCAGCACTTCTTCACTTTTAACAAGATGCTAGGAAAGGTCTTGCCTCCCTTTTTTCAGTCACCTGACAGATTGCCAGAATGTCATCGAGTCCCTCTCTTTGGCATCGAAAACTATAGTTTCCCAAATGTTCCATGAAATATTTGTGGGCAGCATTCCTGATAAGGTGATTAACCTCATCACTAAGTTGGGATCAACTGACTGCTCTGCTAAAGAATCCAAAACAGAGATTTGAACATTTGAGTGCAAAGTCAACTATTAATCGTTAGTCTGGGGGGCGCCAATATCAACGGTTGTTTCCGTTTTAAAAACACCCTTGTGCTGTTGATCATTTATGCGACGCAAAAGCAAAAAAAAACTGTGATGAGTTGCTATTTTAAATGCTTCTCTCTTAAGATCTCAGATGTAATAATGACCAATAATCACCTGTTAAGGAACTCAAATATAGCTGTAATACAAAAGCTAATTGTCACTGTTTCCCAGGTTCAATGAAATCAGTCGCTGCTGGATCAATAACTGCTGTTATTGTGGGTATCATATTCCTCATTGCCTTTCTGTTGATTAGGTAAGCAGTTCAGTTTTACTTTGATTACGTTCAGTTATGCTTCACAGTTATTTAATGTTAAGATTAATTTTTTTGTTAATTCACTTTGTTTTCCAGAAGAAAGAGGTCCTCGAAACCAACCACGGAAGCTGGAGAGAGACCAGACAACGACGCTCAGGTGAGAAGGAAGATTTCAGGTGTCACTAAGGGTCAACCCTCATCTGCAAACTCATTTGAACAGTGCATCATGTCCCAGTTTGGAAACGTCCTTTTCCCAAACTAAATATGACTCAGGAGGTGGAGTGAGTCATCCATTAATCACAGTGTTGAGGCTTTGATCCCTGTCTGTGTGTTTAAAGACCAAAATAAATGTAATCAAGATGCTCTTCATGGGCCATGTAGTACTTTTTCGGTGAAGCTTTGTCGCCATCTGTGTGTGAGTTTGGTGAATGAGAGGCCTTTTTGCAGTGCTTACCAGTGTGCAGGTGATTACCATTCAGTACCTATCATACTTTCTTTTTTCCTCCTGTTAAATTCAATTTGATAAATCCATAGCTATGCTTTTGTCTTTTCATTCTGTGTCATACGGTTATCAACATTATGTGTAAGGTGTCTTTGGTCTTTCCATTGCTTGGGATGTAAACCTTTCCATACATGTAAGCATTTTTTAAATATTGGGGGATACAATGACAATAACAGAAGTGATCTCAAAGCAAGCAGCCACCTCAGGTCTGAAAGATGAATCCAATGCCAAAGTGCCTTAAGGCTGCATTCTTTCCAATGGCCAGCAGAGAGCGAATCCACTGGCTATAACACAGCATCTGATTGTGTAGAATTCTATGAGAAAATGACCCTACTTTTAACATGATTTATGACCTCAGTATATGTTTTCCTGATGAGTTTATGGTCTTACTTGATGATTTAAAGTCTTCTTTAATACAGCACAACTGATGTGTTGTAAGTTATGGTCCCATTTAGAGTATATTAGCAAAAAGGTGACTTGTTATCAAAAAACATAATGTTGTCCACAATTGTTTTTTTACAACTTGAACCAATTTGCAGTCCTAAAAAAAGTTTTTGTAATATGTTTTTTGTTCAGAAAAGAACAGAACATTGAGGTGGCAGTGGGCAAAATACCAAATTCAAGGCTTCAACACCATAATTAGCCAAATTCATATTGATCATGTCAACTTCTTAAATACAGTTTATGCCTCAAACCTTTTAATCACTTTTAGACTTTGAAAATTGCACTTGACTTTGAAAGATGAGGACATTTAGTAAATCGAGGAGTTTTTGGTGCCTGATTTGGAATTTTTAAATGTACTGAAATTGCAAAGAAGCCCCATTGCAAAAGTAATGGTGATTGTGTCTTAAAGGCCAATCTATGAGACACTAACCACTAGAAATATATGTTGTTTGTCTTTGTGATGTTTCCAGCAGGTACGCATGTATGACCGCCCTTCAGCTGAAGTACAGAATGCAACACCAGAGCCGGAGGCCGAGGTTTGCTATGCCAGCGTGAGATTCATTCAAAACCAGGAAGATGCTCTCTACTCCAACATCAAGCCCGCTCATCTCCGCAGACACAAGAAGGACGAGAAGGACAAGGAGGAAGATGTTGACCACTCTACTGTCACATTTAAAGGTCACAGTGCTACTGCAGAGTGAGTAAAAGATCCTCTTTCTTTGCTACATAAAGTTATTATGTTGTTTCATCCTTCTTTACAAAAACATGTTCTTAGTCAGTAATGTGAGTTTATAATTTGCTTTATCAACAGATCAGAGCGTCATGAGGCTGCGGACGATCCATCTGCATTGTACAGCGTAGTCAACAAAAAACCAAGAGTATTGACATAACATCTGTGTTCTCTTCAACAGTGCTCAAACTGTTTAAACATACATATAAATATAAGGTCTGCTGGATTTCTAGTATCATGTAGCTAACGTATGCTGAAGCTTGTAATTTATAAATTCCAAGACAGAAAACTATTTTGAAGCTTCTCAAAGTAGCCCACATTTCTCTATGTACAATATATATTTACCATCATCTTTTTCTGCTCTGATGTTCAGTTTAATTGCCTTTTTATTGTTTTACATGTTGATCATTTTCATTTTATTCATATTTAACTTCTGCTTCATTATCATCATAAGTTAGTGTTTTGTTAAAAAAGAAATTGTAATTTGTAAAACTGATTTGATGTCACTGATGTGTATTGTTTGTAAGTAACCATATCATTAAATAAAGTTATTCAGTTCATTACCTGTTACTGATTGTCAACATTTCTAAGCCAGGTGTTTAATGTTTAAGTGACGAGGGAGCCAGAGGGACATCCTAATAGTTTCATAAGGTGCTTCATCTCAAAACAGTGTATTATTATGAACGCCTAATGTGACTAAGACTACATTGGTGAGAGCTATGATGGCTCATGGATGTCTATAAATCAAAGGGGCGGAGGTTCAGTCCCCTGCAGTCAACATGTCAAACTGTCCTTTGGCAAGATGTATAAGCCACATTGGGTCCTGCATGTCTACCGTATTGTAAGGCAAGGCAAGGCACGTTTATTTATATAGCACTTTTCAACACAAGGCAATTCAAAGTGCTTTACAAAAAATGAAAGACATTAAGAAAATGGCATTTAAAATCTGTCATTAAAAAGAAAAGCTAATAAAATAAACATTAAAAGAAAAAATACATGGATAAAAGTTACAGTGCAGTCTAAGATATGAATAGTTCAATTAAAAGCAGCGACAAAAAGAAAAGTCTTCAGCCTGGATTTAAAAGTAGTCAGAGTTGCAGCGGACCTGCAGGTTTCTGGGAGTTTGTTCCAGATATTTGGAGCATAATAACTGAACGCTGCTTCTCCATGTTTAGTTCTGACTCTGGGGACAGAAAGCTGACCAGTCCCTGAAGACCTGAGAGATCTGGATGGTTCATCATTTAGCAGGAGGTCAGAAATGTATTTTGGGCCTAAACCATTCAGTGCTTTATAAACCAGCAGCAGTATTTTGAAATCTATTATTTGACACACAGGAAGCCAGTGTAAAGACTTCAGAACAGGAGTGATGTGATCCACTTTCTTAGTGTCAGTGAGGACTCGAGCAGCGGCGTTCTGAATCATTGTAGGTAGGTTGCTTTGGATAAAAGTGTCAGCTAAATTACATTTAACGTAAGTAATACTGACAGTATTAGCATCACAGTATATGATTCCTCTGCTCCTTTTCTTTCTCTGTATGAGGTAACTCTTTAAATGCATAATCATATCCAGCATTGATATGTTCCCCTGTGTACTGACTCTCATATTTATAAATCTGTTTGTTTTTGGATTCAATTCAGGAAGAAGAATGCTTCGAGCTCCACCACTGAAGTGAATGAACTGTGACTGTGGAGGTGAGACAGTGACAGATTGTACTATAGCATCTGGTTATTAACTGTTGTTAATAAACAAGGTCACATATCACATATTCATTACTTGGTTTCATAATTTTAGTTTAAGGCGAGACACCCCAGGTGAATAGGGTAATTTTTTTAACTTAAAGGTATCAGCTAGAAATGTCTCCAGTTAATTACTTACAATAAGGCAATTGTCTTTTGTATTACAAGTTTCCTGAAATAGCATGTTTAAATATGCAAATTACCATTATCTCATTAAATATGCACATATTATAACTAGGGCCGGGACTTTAACGCGTTAATTAAGATTAATTAATTACACAAAAATTAACGCGTTAAAAAAATTAACGCATTTTAATCGCACTTATTTTTGCACCGCGGAACGTTTCTCACTGGATGAGTTTCAGGCGTACCGATTATACTGGAGCACCAACTAACGTTCATGACTTCAGACAACAACAAACCACAGTGAACAACAGTGGGAAATGTTGTTTTAAAAAACGGACGGATGGAAGCGTCGATAAGAGCACGGTTGTGTGCAAATTATGCAAAAAGGAATTTGCATATCACCGCAGCACATCAAGCCTCAAGTATCACCTCAATGCAAAACATATAGCAGCTAGCGTGGACGTTAGCCTCTTTTATCGCGTTCACACCAAATAGAGCCGGTACTAAAATTAGTTCATGAGAACCTTTTTACCCCCACGAAAGTCCCTGCTAGAGAGCAGAGAGCTGCTAGAGAGCAGGGACTTTCGTACGGCTCTCTTGTGAGAAAAGAGCTATATTTCTGATTGGCTGGGCGGATTGCAAACCACGCCCCGTAAAACTCCCAAAAAGTTTTGTGAATTTTATTATCCTCGCATTAGCATTATTAGCATTAGCCCAGCGCAGAAACGCAGAGAGACTAATTTATGGCAACACAAAATAAAACATGGGAGCGGTGGAGATGAGGAGGTGTCGGCGTTCTGGCGATTTACTCGGAAGGCTGCTGGGACGCAGCTTCTACTGAAGCAGAAGAAGAAGAAGTGACGTCAGCTGCTTCATTTGCCTAATCCTCCCCCAGGTTCAAAGAGTTCTCATGAACTAAATTCTCATGAATCTTTGTGGGAAAAGTACTGCGGTGTGAATGCGCCTAATGGTATACTAAAATCCATGCGAAAAAAATTGCTTCTCACTGTTCTCAGGTCAAATATTTATATGTGATTAAAAATGCGATTAATTTCGATTAATTAATTACAAAGCCTCTAATTAATTAGATTCATTTTTTTAATCGAGTCCCGGCCCTAATTTTAACACATTTCAGGAATCGAAATCTGAACTTTGGATATAGCCAGATTCAAAATTATTGTTTCATTTTGTAGTCATATTAGTATCTAAGGCTTTTACAGAAGGGATATTGGATATCTCTTTTTATCACTCCATAAATCAGAAAATACTGTCAACAGCCCTAAAATATCCATTTTCGCCATGTTTTTAGGTATACAATGTTGTATAATTCAGGCTATGAATTATATATGAACAAACCCTTCTGTAAAAGCCTTCATAATATTGATAGGAATATAACTGGAAGGTTTGGTGTCTCTACGTGCTACTGAAGTTGAAATTTCGAACTCAGAGTAGGAGAAAAAACTTATTTTGAGAAAACGACCTTTAAAGATTGCAGTGAGGCGCTAGCTAAACCCTCCTGTTCTTTGGATGACAGCTTGCGCATCGACGCACTCCGTGAAGGTATTTCATGTTCAGGGTCATTTTTTTTTATATAACCTTGCTTCGTGCAAGTGACAATTGTTGTCGTCTTCTCTGTGAACGTTTTTTTCGCCGTTCTTTTGGCATTTTGAGATTTCAATTTCTAGCTGAAAGCTAACCAGGAAGTGTTTTAGCACACCACGTGACGCATCTGAACGAATCACGTTGTCAGAAATTGACACCAGCCAATGAGATTTCGTTTCTTGGTTTAAGACCCCTTTGTGCTTTCACGATTGGTTGCTGATACAAAGGAAATGACCATATTTGGATCCGATGAGATTGTGCAGGAGAGACGGAGCTTTCCAGCGATACCTCTGTTGACATGGTGCACACAGCGGTCGCGATACTTTATGTTACGTTAGAATGCTAACTTTTGGTGAATTTAGGAGAAATATACAGACGCAAATAGACAAACTATAGTAAAATAAACACTTAAATGTGTATTTTGTACGTTTTCCTTCCAAAAGCCTGAAAGAAAACATGTTATGGAATCAAAATAGCACAACATCTCAAAATTGACCAGTACTTGAAAAACGATGTTTTTGCCTGCCGTGTCTCGCCTTAAAGTGGACTTATCATGCAACCTCTCATTCCCCTGATAGGTGGAGAGTTGGCCATATAGGCGGAGCTCCTCATTTCTGACTTCAGAGATATTTCAAATCTGGATCAGTCTGTATCAGATCCGTTGCAGCCCCGTTTTTTTAGAGATTTGGGTATGGAAGAAAAGAGAGAGGGTTGTGTTTTCTGACACTTGGTGAGTTCCCTGACACACCGGGGACACATATGTATAAAAGACGTACAAAAGTGCATTTTGCATGATAGGTCCCCTTTAATATAAAATATAGTTGTATTTATCTCAAATGATGGCCTCTGACTCTCCTCTCGTTGTCTCTCCATCAGTTGGACCCTTGTTCTGTGTATGAGAACGTCTCAGACCTGAACATGGTCTCTGCAGAACAGACAGAAGAACCAGAGGAGCAGGAGGACCTGGTCTGAAGGTCAGCAAGCTCTCCCTCAGCTGTATTTATGAAAACAAACCCAAAACAACTTCCTGAGAAATAACTCACCAGAAATGTACATGATTTATTTTAGATGCATCAAACCAGAGGGAGACTCACCTGGATGAAACAGAGAGAAGTGAAACATTTACCCTCAGGTTTCCATGGTGTTAAGTAACAGTAGGTAGGAGTGAAAGCAGTCAGAAACAACATGTAGCAGGAGATGGAGTAAAATGTGTATTTTAATGTAAAGTTTATACACACACTTTACTGCAAGAGTGGGGGTGCAAACAAATGTGCATCAGCTTACATTTAGCATCCTAACTACTTATCATATTTTCAGTATTCCTTCAATGTGTATATTTTATAATGAAAATGTCATGATAAAAGTAAAATTGGGGAAAAACAGAAAGAAAGACAGTATTTGCACTTATGTCCCCATAAGGGAGGCGACTCCCCACACGTGAGTCTGTAAACAGATGTAGGTCCCCACAAGGATAGTAATGCTAGATCACACACACACACACACACACAGGTTGATTCTTCAAACACCTTACTTATTGTTGAATTCTGATCCTCATATTAATCCATTCATTCCACCTTTCCAAATATGTATACGTATAGATATGTCTTATTTTTGTATTTCTAAAATGATGCTTACATTTGACTCCTTGTTGTTAAATGAAGGTTAAACCAGTTCCTCATTCTCTTTCTCACAGCTGTTCTTCTAAGCATCCTTTATACATATCTGTAACTTGCTTCTTCCTCTTTTAAAAAATGTTTAAGTTCTTCTTTAAACCTCATCATAGATTGTGCTTCAATGTTTAATCAGACAGTACATCTTGAAAATGTGACTGCTATTGGTTTCCTTCTCTTTTCTGAATTGTTATAGAGTCTAAAGTGTAAACAACTATACAAATGAACCTGAGTTTAATTTTAATCCTCTTTATTTAGCTTTTGGAAAAGTAATCTTGCTGTTTTCCAGAGACCAATATGTTAGGTTGTCCGTCTGTAATGTAACTGTCCACTGTGCCATTTGTATCAATTGAGAGTTAATAAATATACATTAAAAAAGTAAAAAGTGTCT